ACAAGCTACAGGGTCCTCTATGGTCTGGCCCATAAATCTGTTTTGTTTTGTTTTTTTGGTACCGGGGATTGAACTCGGGACCTTGTGTTTTCGAGGCAGGCACCAGAACCACTGAGCTAAATCCCTGGCCCTCTGGTCCATAATTCTGCCTCCTATCTTTATCACTACCTCTCTGTACTCCAGGCCCCCAGGCCTTTCAGTTCTAGAACCCCAGTGGCCCCAAGCCCTTGACACATGCAGTCTCTATTATCTGCAACATATATCCTCTTCTCCTTTGCTCATTCATGATGCAATTCACTCAACAAATACTGAACACCTACTATGTTCCAGGCACTGCTTAAGTGCTAGAGATCAGCACTGATAAAATACCAATTCCTGGTCTCATGCAATTTAGATTTTTGTGGACAAAACAAGTAATTAAACAGGAAATAAAAACACTGTAACAAATGAGAAATATATTTGCTTCCTGGCCCAGAGCTCTCCCAAATCCTTGGGGACTTCTGAATCACGGAAGCAGCTTTTATTCTGAGGTGATTCCTGGTGGGAGCCTAGGCAGCTTCAGGAAGGGGGCTTGGCACAGAAAGACCAAGCCATGATCAAAAGCTTGGAATCTTCAGGCCCACCCACGTCCATCCTCGAGGGAAGGAGAGGGGCCAGAGATTAAATTCATAGTTAATTGTGCCTATGTGATGAAGTCTCCATAAAGTCCCTCCCAGGTTCAGAGAGCTTCTGCGCTGGTGATCACAGAGGGGCTGGGAAGGTGGCGTGCCCGAGAGGTATAGATACTTCAAGCATCACCCTGCACCCCCATTTCTTGCATCTCTCCCACTTGGATGTCCCTGGTTGTATCCTACATAACGAATCATAAATAGTGAAGTATTGCCCTGTTATGGCTTGCATCTAGATGTACCCCCAAAACCTCATGCAGTCATAGGTGGGACTTTTCAGAGGTGGCTAGATTTAGTGTGTCATGTTGGTATTAAGGGCATGTGATTACTAAACTAATCCAAGGATTAGTTGGCATAGTTCTGAATGTGGATAATGAGAAGGCCCACCCTGGATGTGAGTGTCATCTACCCTAAGGGTGTGTAGCTGCATGTGCTATGAGACAGAAAGACTGCTGCTGTTGCTTGTCTTTTGTGATACTCCCCTGCCATGCCACCCTGCCTTGGAGCCAGTTGATTATGGATTGAAACCTCTACAAACTGTGAGCTAAAATAAACCCTTCCTCCTTTAACTTGTGGGTATCAGGTATTTTGTCTCAGCAACAAGAAAAGTAGCTAAGATAATGATGTAAGGACTGAATCGCAGAATACCCACATAGTGTCTGCAGAAAACTGGGGAACTGTTTGGTATCAGAAAACCCTAAACATTTGGTGTCAGAAGTGTTTTGAGAGGAGAGAAATCCTTTTTTCATGTAGACCCAGTACTGCCAGGAAATGAAGGGCTATGAAAACAAAGCAGGTCTGGCCGGGGATTTAGCTCAGTGGTTCCACTGCCTGTTACGCAAGCTGAAGGACCTGAGTTCCATCCCCAGTACCAAAAAAAACAAAACAGGTAAAGGACTTGAGGAAGAGGAAGCAGCTGCTACTACATGGGCCTCTCCATGCCCAGTTCCCAGCATGGATGTGAGCTTTTTGAAGGTTAGCAAGAGTACCTCTCTCCTGTCTGCTAGATGAAGTCTTATGTAGCATAATCACAGGAGTGACATTCCATCACAGGGGTCATCCAAACTCAGAAGAAGGAAATGTCACAAAGGCATTAACACCAAGAATGGGGGTCACCCTAAGGTCTGTTTGCTGTATTCGGGCAACAGCAAATGGAGCACCCTTTATTTTCTGTAAGAATCCAGGTCTCCTGAGACAAGGGTGTTTGAAGCTGAGCCAGAAAGCTGAAACTGAGAAGAGTGGGCAAAAGAAAGTGACAGAAAAGGACAGAGAGGTAGCCCCAGGCAGATCAGGGAGTGCTTTGTGGGGTCTGGTAAGGAACTAGATTTACTCTTCCAAGTGATGGAAGGGCATTGGAGGGTTTGGAGCACTGCTGTGAAATGAGCCACTGTAAAAGGATCCTTCTGGCTGCTGTGTAGACAAAAGTGCAGGGACGAGAGTGAAAGCAGGAGGTCATTAAAAGGCCCCTGGGTGGCCAGGCAAGAACCACCCTTGATGTGGTGGACAACAGAAGTGATGGGATGTATATCCAGAAAGGAAAGTGGGCAGGACTTGCGGATGTACTGATGTGTAAGAGACAAGGCTGTAAATGAGGTCTTAGCCTGGACTGACCTGCGCTGAATTCTTACTCAATCTCAAATTCTCACCTCAAAGGCTCCTCCTAGGGGAGGCCTTCATTGGCACCACAGCGAGAGGGGCAGTGTCATCAGGGCTACATACTCCATTTTTTGCCAGCACTGAGTGTTGTGAACCACTCTGGTATTTGTTTGGGTGAGGCAATTAAACCTACTAGGTGGCTGGGCATGGTAGTACTGCCTGTAATCCCAGCACACTGAGAGGCTGAGGCAGGAGGATCCCAAATTCAAGTCCAGACTTCTTGGTAACTTATCGAGACCTTGTCTCAAAAAATAAATAAATAGGCTGGAGATGTAGCTTACTGTGAAGTTTCTGGTCAATCCCTATTACTGCAAATGAAAACAAAAACAAAAAAACAAAACACCCTGCTGGGAGCCACATATGCTATTCTGTTCTCACCTATTTTGCCCCACATAATGGAATGTTCATACTCAACATGTGGCCAACAATCACACCCAGGGAATTAGCTCCCTTTGGCCCACAAGGACACTGAGGCTCAAGCAGTTTCTGCCATCTGCTTAATGTCACAGTACTGGGAGCGCAGGAACTGGGATTTGCACCCAAGTCCTGCTCTTCACTAGGTTTCTGCTGCCTTTTCAAATAGGAAAGATGGGGCTTCAAGCCTAGTGAAGAGGAGAAATTTAAATGAGACAAATAGGAAAGGTTGGGACAAGTTCTTAAGTACATGCTAGTTACTCATCTGCAAAAAATTTAGACCTAAGTTAATAATTTTTTTGTTGACTTACACTACAGCCTACAACCACTACTTCCCTTAAGTAGAAGGCAAACTAGGAAGGAACAATTCAGGTTAATGCAAAAAACAGGCAAAGGAACCTGAGGAAATGTTTTTTAAGTTAGTACAGTAGTAAAATTAAAAATAAAATCCTCCGTATCACCACCAGTTCTCCTGAAATTGTAAGATTGATTTCAATGGTCTTGGCTAATTTTCTTCATACCGTTTCTCAGTGTGAGATTGTATACTTGTGTGATGACGGGATTAATGCTGGCCTCCTGCCCTACACTGGAAACTCTATGAGGTCAAGGTCTATATTTGTTTTGCTCATACAAGGTCCTCAGGGCCATCAGTGGATGCTCAGATTGTAACTGTTGCATAAAGGGATATTGTTGTCATCCTTGACTTTTCAGGTAACATAGCCTGTAATATTAGGAACCAGTTAGGTGATATTATTTGGCTAAGTGATCTCTGGGAAAAGATTCAGTAAAGGGGAAATGGAGGAAAAGCGAGGTATGAAATATTCATTTCTGTATTATTCAAGAAGGTAAACAAACAACAAAAACACCAGGGAAAGGAACTATTAAGTGAGGATGCATCAATAAAATGGGATACAGCCAAGCATGGAGGAGCACACCTGTAATCCCAGCCCTCTGGAGGCCTAAGAGAGGAGGACTGAAAGTTTGAGCTCGACCTGGGCAACTTAGCAACTTTTCCAGACCCTGTCTCCAAAGAAAAGGTGGGGGGTGCAGTAAGGATGTAGCTTGCACAAAGGCCATGTTCAATCTCCAGTATTGCACAAAAAAACAAAAAAAAGAAACGAATAATATGCAGCCTAAAAGTCACACCCATATGACTCCCATGCGTGTAGCCAGAATAGTCAAATAAAAAGAAAAAAAGGACGTACTTCTCAAATTTGGTCATGTGGCTGGATAGACAACAAACTAACCTTTTTGGCTGGTGAGACTAGAACCTAGAACCAGTATTTGCAGATTCTGCACTCTGGGGCCCTCCCAGAGTCCATGAGCAGCAGGAGCCTTGGACCCCTGCCCTTCAGCCTATTACCAGTGGTTAGGACAGGATCAGCAACTGCTCCTTACCAAGATTCCAGTACTTGTACTCTTCCAAGTTTCAGAAATGTCTTCTCCACATCTCAGCCCCAACCATTATCCAACCAGGAAACCCTTATAAGAGCAAACTCATTCATTCTTCCACTATTCCAATGAACACTTATTAAGGATCTCCTAAGGGCCAAGCATTCTTCTAAATGCTAGACAAGAGAAAAAACCAGAGACATGGTCCTTGCTCTCATCAAAGTTACATCTTACAGAGTCAATTGCTATAAATAAATGTGCCAGGCTGTCCCCGTCTCCATTCTGTCACCACAATGGCTTCCAGCTGTATTTCAGGAGCAAAACTTCCGTGTTCCTTTTTTTTTTTTTCTCTGTGGTACTGGGGATCGAACTTGGGACTTTGCGGTTTCGAGGCAGGCGCCAGAACCACTGAGCTAAATCCCTGGCCCCTCCCGTGTTCTGATTAAAGCACCGTCGAGTAGCCTGGACGGTAGTGTTAATTCCCATCGTTCACACGAAGCTCTTCAGGGTTCCCCCTGCTTACCTTCCAGCTTCAGCTCCGGGCACTCAAGATCCTGCACGCGCAGACGGTTTCAGGCCGGCCGCCTTTCTTCCGCGCGGAATCCCCCTTCTACTCGCGACGCTCTGCCAGCAGCAGGCCCCATCCACCAAATACTCGCGAGCCCACGTGGCGGGCACTGCGGGGCCCAGGGTTGTTGCCCTTCCAGGAGCGCTTCCTGCCATCCCTTCGGCTCCTTGGAGGTACAGCATCCCGTACCGTGAAGCACGGCACCTGTCACCCAGTCCTATAGTCCTGTATGCGGACACAGGCTGCGCCTCGATCATCTCCCTATCAAAGCACCCGAGGATTGTCAGTTGGGTGAATGAAAGAGTAACAGCGTACCCAAAACCGACGCTCTGGACCTCCGAAATGCTTGCACTTCCGGGTGGCCGTTGGGCAGGCTCTGTGGGGAGTAATGGAGGGAGAAGGGGCGCCCCAGCGCCCCACCCCCCCACTCCCGCAGGGACTGCTCTAGGAAGAGGGCTCGGTAGTCTGGAGGGCCTGGTGGTACGCGTGCGCAAAGAGAGGCTTCGGCGTCTGCGCAGTAGCCGCTTTCCCTGGGGAGGCGGGACCTACAGGAGCCCGGCCTGGGCGTGAGCACAGCGTTGGCCAGTTAGCGCGCTCGGTTCGCGGAGGGGCTGGGATCGGCGCTACTGTGAGACAGGAAAGAGGATAGAAACTGAGGTCAGATTTTCAAAGTGTTCTGTGATTTCAGGAAGGGGACAAACAGTAGCCAAGAAAAATAGAGAAGTAATTTTTTTTTTTTTTTTGCCATAGGCAGAGATTAAGTGTAGCGGCATTCCTGATCTTGTTTCTTCCGGCCGACTTCTCTGAATCTTTTCTGTAGCTGGCCGCAGTTTAGTGCCTTAAACTTCCATGCATTGCCCTCCACCCGAGCAACTCACCTCAGAAGTTAAATCAACACACAGCAACATAAAGGAATATTTGAATTCACATATGGAGTTTTCTTTCTGATTGTTTAAAACGATACATATTTGTAGTGCGTGATTACATTCCTCGCAGGGAGCTGGTACATGCATGTGACATTTAAAAAAATTTTTTTTAATTTTTTTTTTTTTTGGTAGCGGGGATCGAGCTCGGGACCTTGCCCGGAACCACTGAGCTAAATCCCCGACCCAACACGTGACATTTTTAATGGAGTTTATTTTCAACTCTTATAACTAGTTGTTAAGAGATAGGCAAGGCTGTTCTTCATCATTGGAATTATTGTAATTTTATTTCCTTACAATTAAGCTTTTCTGTGTTATTCTTTTCCCCTTTTGTTAGTTTTTGGCCATGTGGGGTGTTCTCTGTCATCTATATACATATATATATATACACACATTATATATACACACATACACATATATACACACACATATACATATATACACACATATATACATATATACACACACATATATACATATATACATATATATACACATATATATGTATACATATATGTGTGTGTGTGTATATATGTATATATATATATTTTTTTTTTGGTACCAGGGATTGAACTCAGGACCTTGCACTTTCGAGACAGGTGGCAGAACCACTGAGCTAAATCCCCGGCCCTGTCATCTGTATACTGATAGTGAAACATGTTAAGACGTTGCTCAGTGTAACCTTGGCTCTGCTCTTAGACTTCCTCTTTTTGTTTTTTCACTTCTCGTTGGTCAACTTTCTGTTCTGTGCATTTGGGCCCATTATTTCCTGTCTACCTTCTGACTTGGAGCCAGAATGATTTAATGACAAAAATCATAAAATCTAGCCAGGTGGGGCACACACTTGTCATCCCAGAACTCTGGAAAGCTGAGGCAGGAGGATTGCAAGTTTCAGCCCAGGCCGGGCAACTTAGTGACTTAGGGAGAGCTTGTTTCTAAAATTTTTTGAAAGGTGGGGGGTTGGAAATGAAGCTCAGTGTGAAGGCCCTGGGTTCAATCCCCAGTACTGCCCCCCCTATCATACAAGCTCATTGTAAACAAACCTTGTGGTTAAGTGCTGATAAGGGGGTGCTTTCCTGGCTGGAGTAAGAAGTGACTGCCTCTATTGGTATTCCTGAGACTACTTCCTGGTTTATCAAATATGTATCAGTAATATTCCCTTTTATTTTTCACTATTTTTCCTAAAGTCCAACAAATTTATCAATTTTTTGTATCAATTATAAGTATTAAACTGCACAAGAGTCCAGACGTATTCACTCTTACTCAATTCCTGGCAAATTATTGGTAGAGAAATGAGTCTAGAGTTGACCTTGCTCAGGGAAGGACAACATTCTTGGTCTCTGCCTCCTCAGGATCTGAAAGATAACAGTTACAATTGTTATTTTTTTATTTTTTAGTTTTTGGTACCAGGGATCGAACTGGGGTCGCGCAGCAGGCAGCGAAACCAGTGAGGTAAAACCCAGGCCCCACAATTATTTTTGACAGTGTCTCTACCATAGGCAATGTGATTAAAATATATGGTGAATGTTTAAATTAAAAATGTATTACAGTAAAAGACACATTGCCATGAATGCTCCTGAATACTTCCTTTGCTTCCAACACATTTATGCCATCATTCTTGCCACTCTTTTTTTTTTGAGACAGGGTCTCACTATGTCACTATGTAGCCCAGACTGGCTCAAACTCGGGCCAATCCTCCTGCCTCCAGGACTGCAGGTCTGTACCACCACACCCAGCTTTTGCCACTCTCTGAAGCAGTTCTGAAAATTCTCTTTACTATCTTTACAAGGTGTAATAAAAAGTATGGTGAATACTGCTTCTTTGTATCATTCAACAGAAATACAGGCTCATACAAACATGTGTCCTCATCCACTTTATTCACCAGATCTGGCACCATGGGACTTCTGGCTCTTCCTCAAAGTCAAACTGACCACGAAAGGAAAATGTTTTGAATCTCTTCAAGACATCGAGGCATCCACAACAGCACAACCAAAGACTTCCAGAACTGTTCCAGAAAGTGGCAAGAACGACGGGATGAATGTGTTCAAAATGAGGGGGAGGGCTGGCCATGGAGGCACCTGCCTGTAACCCCAGCACTTCGAGGCCAAGGCAAGAGGAATGCTGTGAGTTCCAGGCCAGCCAGCGCTTCATAGTGATTCAAAGCCAGTCTGAGCGAGACCCTGTCTCAAAAACAAAAACACCCCCCCCCAAAAAAAACCCCAAAAACAAAGTGAGGGGTGTATTTTGAGGGGGATTAATAGCAATGTGTCTTTTAGTGTAATAAATTTTTAAAAATTTAAACATTCACTGTCATGTGGCAAACAGCCCACGAGCTCGAACTTGACCAAGGGGTGATGAGGATGAAAAGTAAAGAAATGCAGAATTAGGTTAAAATATGGGGGAGAAAGGGAGGGGACTCATGCCTCCCTTTGACAAAGAGCCCCAGTGACTGTTGCACCTTGGCTTTAGTCACTCAGATATGGGCACAAGCAATTAGAGTTACATAGGATTCATCTGTCTCCCACGCTCCATGCTACTTCTCCAGATAAACAACAGAATCTCAAGTGTTTGGTTTTACTTTTGCTTGCATACAAGCCCTGTTTTTTTTTTTTAGCGCTTGCCTCAGAAGGCTAATTAGGCCTCAGTCCTCCCATCTGGTCTCCCACACTATCACACCTTGTACTTAATAGCTTCATAGAGTCTTTTAATATCTAAATGTATTAGTAACTGCTGTTTGTGGTGGTACATGCCTATAATCCTAGCACTTGGGAGGCTGCGGCAGGAGGATCACTGAGTTGGAGGCCAGCCTAAACTACATAGTGAGACTTTGTCTCAAAAAAGAAAAAACAACAAGAAAAAAACTCTACTAGTAACATTAAATTAATCATCCCCACTCTATGTACAATAACAAAGAAAAGCAAGTCTTAGTGGAGGCTTTGCTTTGGAACCAAAATTGTGTCATTGTGATGATGCAGATTTGTAGCAGCACCAGGAAGGGCTCAGAGGATTTAGGGCCTCATAATCTCCATTACCTCCTATTCCCAAGCACCCCAGGTAGTTAGTCTTATTAAAATCAGAGCACTTAGTATTCAGGCACAGATCCAACATACTGCTCCTGAGCTCCAAGCTCCTAAGTACTGTGGACCCCCTTGACTTATGAACTCGATTGGTTCCCAAGGGCTGGTTGTATCTCAAGTTAGTTGTGAGTCAATACAGCTGAGATCTGGATATTTACCTGGGTACACACTATAGATAACAAGAGCAGATGAATCTTCCCTTAACCTAATTAACCCAAGTTGTCCATATGTCAGGCTGGTCGTAACTTGAGAATCCACTGTTTTGTTTTGTTTTGGGTACTGGGAATCAAACTCAGGGCCTTGCACTTGCTAGCTGGATGCTGTACCGCTGAGCTACATCCCCAGTGGGTCCACTGTATTTGAGACAGACAGTGTTGGTCAGTTCTTTCAAGGTCATCCTGAAGGAAATCCTCATGAGATGCCATCAAGAAATAGGTCTTCAGCAAAACAAACTTAACACTTGTGGTGTTAGGCTGGAGTGTCAAATTGATTGGCTTTGGGATCCACCCTGGGGATTAGTCAAGCACTCTTCTGGGAGTATTTGGGTGTGCCATGGAGGTGTGACCTTGAGGTCTATGTCTGGTCCCACACCCCTTCCTCCCTGGCTCTGTTCCCCTGCTCTGCCTCCCTGCCACCATGAACTAAGCAATCTTGCTCCACCACATCCTTCCACCATGATGTTTCTCCCTTGGAGCCAGCTGGCCACGGACTGAATCCCTTAAACCATAAGCTAATTTAAACCTCTCTTCCTTTAAGTTATGAATGCTGGGCATTGTGTTCAGCAATGAGAAAGCTGGATAATGTACTACCATCACAAGAATACACACAATAATTATATCTGTCAACTAGAAAATTCAAAGCTATTTTCACAGAAGGATTTTTCCATCTATTTATGTTCAACTCCCAAGTATTTTCTGTTGTTTATGCTGAGTAAAGTTGCTAAGTATCAGTGGCAAATACTATCTTGACATTCAAAAGCACTTCCCCCCTTAAGCTTGGCAGCAGCACTGTATGGTTATCCAACCAATATTTTCCTTTTCCTTCAACAGGGCATTGGTCAGATTTACATTTTCTGCATGTGAGACTGGGAGTGAGAACAAGATATTGGCTGAAAAGCAGAAGTGAAACGACTCATTGCTGTGTTGAGAAGATGCTCCCAGGCTGTTGTCCACACAGCAAGTCTGTGTCTGGGCCCATCTGGGATCAGAGAAGCCACCTGGAGCAGCAATGGGGAAACTTGGAGGGAGAAGCTGCAGTCTGAGTTCAGTGATGATCATGTGTGGGCAGTTTCTATGGAAAAGAAACTCCACAGGAATTTAGCAGCATTCAGAACACAATCAGAACTACAGGATTTCTGCGGGAGATCAAAATCTTCGTATGTAATCAGGGTGGGAAAATTTTGGTGTCTCATCAAACAACACAGACTTCCCACTGGAGAGAAGACATATGAATGTAAGGAATGTGGGAGAACATTTACGGAAGTTCAGATCCTAGAGGCACAGGAATATTGGAGGTGGAGAGAAATGCTGTGACGGTAATAAGTACATGTGGGAAAACCTCCTACCAGAGTCCAAACCTTCAACAATATTCTGTAATTCACACAAGAGAGGAAAACAGTCAATGCAAAGGAACTTCTAGGAAAAACCAAAACTCATTCGGAGTATGATACTTCATTTCGGAGAGACACCTTTGAATGTTTTGAACCTGGAAAATCTTTTATTTCATCCTCACACCTTCTTCAGCATCAATCAGGGTATTTACAATAGAGGAAAACCAGATGACTATAAAGGAAATGGAAGAGTCTTCAGGTGGCCCCAGAGCCACTTAAGCACCAGAGAATTGGGTGGAGAGGAGCCTTGTGTAATGTCTGTCAGAGGCTTTCCAGCTGGTGCGCAAACCTGGGACAATATAGGATCATCATGCAGGAACAAACCAGACAAGTGTAGCCTATGTGGCAAAGCATTCTGGGAAAGTGGGAAATTTCTTCAGCGTCAAATAATTCATACTAGGGGGCAAGGGGAAACAGCCTATTTGTGCAAAGGCTGCAGGAAACTGGGGGAAGTTCAGCCCACCTTTTCCCATCAGCAAGGAGATGCTACTGAAGAAGAAAACTTACAAGTGCAAAAAATATGGGACCGTCTCCAGTTGACTCAGCCTGATTCAGCATTGAGAATTCGTACTGGGAAAGAAAGCTTAGGTGTGAAGAAGGTGGCAGAGCTTCCCATTCAAGTTCCCCTCTTATTTATTAGACCCTGAGGATTCATGGTGAAGAAATGACGCTGGACAGCAATAAAGAAGGGTAAATTTGCGTATTTGTAGGAAAAACAGATGTACCTTGAGACCATAATGCTAAGTGAAATAAATCAGACACAGAAGATTAAATATTGCATGGTTTCTTTTATATGAGTAACTCAAAATATAAATATTTTATTTAATTAATTAATTAATTTATTTTTGAGACAGGGTTCGGGCTGAGTTTAAACTCACCACGTAGCCCAGGCTGTCCTCCAACACTCAGCGGTCCTCCTGCCTCAGCCTCCTGAGTGCTGGGGTTACAGGTGTGTGCCATCCTGCTCAGCAAAATATAAATAATTTAAAGAGAAAAATAAAAGGTAGATGATAGGAAATAGGGCAGTAGACTTTGAGGAGATGGGGAGCGAATAGGGGATAAGGGTAGATGGGAGAGAAGGGGGGAAGGGGAAGTAAAAATAGTTCAGATGCAATATGTCTATGTAACAGTTCCTAAGGTGAATGTAATTATTATGTACTGCAAACATAGACTAATAAAAAAATTGAAGAAGAAAGGCATTTGGAGAAGTTTTCTGGGAACACTGGAAGTTTACTAAAATCGGGGATTTTTATAGCAAAGATTAGTTCTGAGGACATAAGATTTTTCACCTGCCCAGTTAGGCTTCATTCCAAAGTAACCTTGTCTATCCAAAAGTCTCTCGGTACCTTATACTTTTATAACTCCACAGTTTGGCTCATGGTCATAATTTTGATTTGTGTGAGGGTGTACCATTCCATGAGGTATTTAGTAGATATTTGTTAAATCTAAGAAGTAATAAATATAAGGAAAACAGGGACTTTGTAAGGTCAGAACTCCATAGGTCATGGAAGCTAGAGGGCCAAGTCTGAAGAATGTGTTTTGAATGCTGTTATGGTTTGCATATGATTTTATTCCCAAAATTTTGTGGACTGGAAGCTTGGTTCTCAATATAACCACCTTGAAAGGGGGCAAGACCTTTAAAACATGGGGCCTAGTGGGAGGTGGCTGGGTCATTAATGCTGGTCAAGCAGAATTAGTCTTGCAGAGGTAGCTTAGTTCCCAGGGGAGTGGGTTGTTAGAAGAGTGATCTTGAGCATGCAGGAGGCTGAGGCAGGAGGATTCTGTGAGTTTTAGGCCAACCTGTCCTACATAATGAGTTCAAGGCCAGCCTGGACTACATAGTGAGACCTTGTCTCAAAACAAAACCAGGGCTGGGAATTTAGCTAAGTGGCACTGCTCCTGCCTCACAAGTGCAAGGCCCTGGGTTCCATCCCTGGTACTAGGGGGAAAAAAAAACAACTAAAACCCAACAAAAAACCTCAAAAAAACAAGTTCCTCCCCAAAGACTGAGCAGAAGGGGCAGTTGATCTTGGACTTCTAGGTCTCCAAAACTGTGAGTTCAAAAGACCTCTTTACTTTATGAAAGTAAAGTATGAGCAATTGTGTTTAAGTTCAGAGTTTAATGGAATAATCTTCACTTTTAAGAGTAAATTAGAGCTGGGCCTGGTCACGCACACCTGTAATGCCTGCACTCTTGGAGGCTGAGCCAGGAGGATCCCAAGTTTAAGCCCAGCCCGAACAACTTAGCTACTTGGTGAGAACTTGTCTCAAAAATAAAATACAAAAAACGGGTCTGGGAATGTATCTCAGGGCAAAGGCCCTAAGTTCAATGCCTGATATTGAAAGGTTGGGGGGGCGGGTAAATTAAGAAGATGCCTCTGTAATAAATTCTGTGTGTTTGTTTCATATTAAAATCTTAGAATTTTATGGCAGGAAGAGATCAAAGCCCTTTAATTCAGCTGCTCATTTTTTCAAATGATAAAACATATTGGACATGGTAAGGCAACCTTCTCAAGATTTTCTAGCTAATAATGGAAGCCCTCCTAGGCCTCCTGATTCTCAGCCCACAGTGATTCTTCTCCACTCCCGTCATCTCTTTTGATATGGGGCAGATCAACTTTGTAGAAAAGTCAGAAAGAAACAGAAGATTCTGATAAAAAGTCAGGTAGTTCAGTCTTTCATGGAGAAGAATCCTTTCCAGCCCGCTTGCTCAGAAGGTCTCTGTCTATAAAAGACATCTCCTCCCACCACTTGGAAGCACTCAGATGCTAGCGAGGATGTTCCAAAGGCCAGCTGTGACTCAGAGCTGAGTGGAGCTGCTTCCTCTTGAGAATAAGATCCCATCAAGCTGGGCGCATCTGAGAACGAACTACAGCATTGATTGTTGTTCAGTATCAAAATTGTTAAGGTATTTTTAAAACGCTGAGACTTTTATTGATTTAACAGCTGAGACAGGATGAAAGCAGTGGGCGAGTGGGAAGAAATCTCTCACATAGATACATTTTTATATATTTGGAAGGTTTTTGTTCAACATTGAACAAAAAAGCCAGAGCTTTATGAATGCAATGGGCTGGATTATGTCCCCTCTCTGCCCCTATATCTATGTTGAAGCCCTAACCTCTAGTACCTCAGAATAGACTATATTTGGAAATAACATCTTTAAAGAAGGTTAAATTACAATTAGGTCATTGCAGCAGGTCTTTTTAAGAAGACTGGTGTCTCCAGCTACCCAGGAGTCCGAGACAAGAGGATCACAAGTTTGAGGCCAGTGTGGGCAACTTAACTAGATCCTATCTCAAAATAGAATAAAACAATTTTTTAAAGGGTTGTGGAAATAGATTGGTGGTAGAGTGCCCAGGGTTCAAACCTCAGTACCACAAAAATAAGACAAAATGAAAGAAAACAAAACAGGAAAACCAAAACAAAACAAACCAAAACAACTGGTGTCCTCCTCAGGGGAGGCGATCAGGACACAGACACATAGGCAAGGAGGACACTGTGAAGTCACAGGGGAAGCCCGTCTACACGGCAAGGGAAGAGGCCTCCGAGGGTGTGAGTTCCGCTAACGTCTTGACCTTGGATTTCCAGGCTCCAGAACTTTCAGAACTACATTTCCAGCCTGTGGTCCTTTGTTAGGACAGCCTCAGCAAGCGAATACCGACCACGTGCACTTTTACAATTACACAGAAACATGTCTGCAAGGTCCCGAGAGTGCCAAGGCAATCTCTCTGTGGGGTCACCTCTTCTATTCCAGAACTTTCCGGACCTGATCCCAGCAAGCCTTGCATTCCTGGTGCCGCCGTTTCTGTCAGTCACTCTGGGCACCACATGTAAAAATAGGTTTTCAGACTCGCTGCTGCACTCTGACTAGGTCAAAGAAAGAGTTTTGTACATCTCCTGTGACCCTGGAGACTCACAAGATGGATTTCTGCCCCCTTTCTTTCTCTCTTTCTGTCTTTCTTTCCTTTCTCTTCCTTCTTTTTTGTGGTACCGGGGATTGAATCCAGGGCCTTTGCACTGAGTTACATCCCCAGCCCTTTAAATTTATTTAAAAAAATTTTTTTAAACTTTTTTTTTTCTGGTTTGGGAGATTGAACTCAGGACCTTGCGCTTGCAAGGTAGGCGCAGCACCACTGAGCTAAATCCCCGGCCCATTTGCTTTTTAAATTTTGAGACAGGGTCTTGCTAAGTCACTAAGTTGCTCAGGATGGGCTTGAACTTTTGATCTCCCTGCCTCAGCCTCCTAGAGTGCTGGAAATATAGGCATGTGCCACCACACCTGGCTTACATGTTAAGGATAAAGAAAATGTAGCTTCTTCTGAACATAAACTCATTGTCTAGTGAGGGACAATGATTAAATAAAGTAAGAATCCAACAGTATGGTGACATGGTTTGGGTGTTGTTTGTCCTGAGAGTTCACACATCAGAGCTTGGTCCTCAGTGTGGCGATGCAGAGGTGGTGGTGCCTTTAAGAGGTGGAGCTTAGTTGGAGCTCATTTTGGGGGCGCCACCCTCTTGTTGGAGGGATTAATGAAATTCTTTTGTTTTTGTTTTTGTTTTTTTTTTTGGTACCGGGGATTGAACTCGGGACCTTGCACTTGCAAGGCAGGTGCCGGATTGTTTTGTTTTTCGAGACAAGGTCTTCTATGTAGTTCAAGTTGGCCTTGAACTATGTAGCCTAGGCTGACCTTGAACTTTGGGGTGATGCTCCTGCCTCAGCCTCCCCAGTGCTAGGATTGCAAGTGTGCACCACCATGCCAGGTTGAATTTTGTGAGCCCTTGGAGCAATATTATTGAACTGGAAGAGGGTGTCATTTATAGCTGATCAGAAACACAGGGGGCTTGGTGCTTGTGACAGGCACCTGGAGTAACAGCAATCTTGTGGCACCGAGCCTTTAATCGGTGTGATCTCTTGCTAATTCTGGGTAGTTAGCACCAGAAGTGAATTTTATCATTGGATACTCACTTGGTGTTTGGAGAGCTGAAGAATTAGTTAATGTGAAAAACACACATTTGGTGTCAGAAATGTGAGCAGAGTGATATATTCACCTTATCCTCTCCTCCTTCTCCTCCTCCTCGTCCTTCTCTACCTCCCTCCAGATGGAGTTCTTGCTATGTTGCCCAGGCAGGCCTAGAATGTGTGATTCTCCTGCCTCTGCTTCCTGAGGCCAGGCTTAGAGATGTGCAGGACTGCATTTGGCTTTCTTAACAGGTTCGTCCAAACAGGTAAATGTTTGGTGGAACAAATATTTTTAATGTTGAGAAAAATTCACTTCTCGGGTTTTTTCTTTTACAGTTTATGTTCTTTGTGTCACATCTAAAAGCTTTTTGCCTGTACCGGGGTTTCTCAACTTCAATATGACTGATATCTGGGTTGGATGATTTCTCTGTTTAGGGGTCTCCTGTGCATTGGATGATATTTTTCAAAGCCAGCCTTCCTGTTCTCTACCCTTTGGATGCCAGAACATCCCCAACCCAAGCTACACACACACACACACACACACACACACACACACACACACACGAAAGTCCCCAGACATTGACAAATATCCTCTGGTGGTGGGGGCTGGGTTAAAATCATTCCTAGTTGAGAAGCACCAGCCTGGTCTCAGCTCCCAGAGACTTTCTCATATTTTTTTCTTCTACAAGGTCAGCGACTTTACATGACACAGTAAGTCTGATCCATTTTGATTTGATGTCTGTATGAGATCTGAGGTT